ATATAACAAAGTTAATATTATCATTTTTATTTTATTTTAATATTTTATTTAATAAATTAAACTGTTTTTTTCAAAAAAGTTTATCACATTAAATACTTGATATTTAAATAATAATTAAATAACAACTTTTGTATAAAGATGATTTAACAATTTTTAAATTATACAATTATATTGTTTACAAACAAGTTAAGGTTAAATGCATCAAACGAATATTATATTTAATGTTTGATTATCACGTAATATGATACTTATTCAATTTGCATTTTATAAGCTATATTTTAAAAATCAATTAAAAACATGATTTATATTTTTTTAATATTATTATTATTGCTTATCTTAAAATATTGTAAATATTTTAAGATATTCATTTTTAAAATTGAAACTTCAATGTTTTGAGATCAATAGTGTTATTTTGAACAATTAATAACTTCAGAAAGCTTTTAAACGGTTTAATGAAATATTATATTTATCAATATATATTCTAATAATTAATTACAGTCAAATATGCCTATTTGTTAAAAACGTGTGAATAGAAAGTTTGTTTAATATTAAAAGTTTGTTCCTTGAAAAAAATACCCGTTTTAATCAAACATAAATTTTAGATTCAAATACAAGATACTAAATTGTTTTATATCTTAATTATTAGTTGGTTTCAGATAATAAGCAAGTTCAAAAAACAATTTTACAATATAAAAAACTCTTCAAACTGTTTTTATTTATTCAATAATCAATAAAAAACAAACAAATAATTTTGTTTGTATATTAAGATTCTATATTAATTATGTTTCAATTTAAATGTTATTATATTAAACAGTTATTATAAACACGAACATATATCAATACTCATTTAAGTTGCGATTATCTTTAAATTCTCTGTCAATTTTTTGAATCAAAGAAAGACGCCGTTTTCTTTTTTTAACACTTGTTGTAATATGTTTATCACATTTAAATATATCATTTTGTTCTTCAATTTCCATTGCAACACCTTGAACACAACTCGAATAATGATCTGTTATTTCTTCTGATATATGATGACACGTTTCTTCTTCGTGTATTTCTAGCATCATTTCATCATTGTCCGATTTTTCTTCGTTTTCTGGAAAATCAAAAAATACTTCCATATTAAGTTTGTCAGTTGCTTGTATCGTCTTTTTTAAAAATTCTTCCAAGTTAAGTTCTTCACAATAATAGTTGATAGTCAAAATTTTCAACAATTCGTTTACTTCATCTTGCTTTCTGTTTGTTGGTTTAAAGTATCCATTTAAAGCTTTGTGATAATTCTTTTTGGTTTCATCAATAATGCCTTCAATTGTCTCAACAAACTTCCAAAATGAAGGTTTGGATAAAGCTAATAATCTCGAAAGTGTTGAATGATAAACTTCACAGTCATTGTTGGTTCTCTTCTCTCTCATATATTGACACCAAAGTTCAATCGGATATTGTCCATACACCCACGCTCTTTTAAAATATTCAAAACCCTTATTAAAATCAATTGTGTGGACGTAGAGTGCACCAACGAAATTTACAGCAAATTCGATGTCACAAGGTTTTAGGTAACAAACATCTTCTAACATCTTAATTGAAAATCTGAAATCTCCATCATTCCAATATTTTCTTTCAACCCCAACGTATTTATATACTTGTTTATTGCTTGACGTTGGTGAAACATACAACCATGGTGTTTAACTTTTTTAAATTCTTTTAGAACAGAAATAAGAGAATTTTCAAAATCGGTTATTACATCAATATCTCGTTCGAAACAAGTTGCATTGCAATTCTGTTCTTTTATTAATTTTTCAATTGCTGTGACAAGTTGTTTATAGATAATTTTGGTTTTTTTCTTCATCAAACAATGCAAAATGGGATATATTTGGCCATTTTTTAATTGGCAGTGAATTGTATATAATTGATAAAATTGACGTGGACAACTTTGAAAAGTACCATCCATCATAACAGATGTGCACCTAGCAAGCATCATTAATTGTTCTGTATCCCCAAAAATGAAGATGTTTGAGTCACCACTTTTAAAAATAAGTTTTGATTCACCTACAGATAAATCAATTTCTTCACATGTTTTCGGTTCTTTTTTTGTTGGTAAGTTTCGTTGAACATATTTTTCCAATGTTTCAGACTTCATACCTATTGAACTACGAGTATATTTTCTTATAAGAATTCTTCTTGGAGTTGATTTAGCTTGATTTGTTTTGAGATCTTTTCTTATAAAATTTATATAATTCTTTTTTAATAAATTTTGTTTTTAGTGTTTATGAACGTTATTTCTGCCATACAAAAAGGTACCATCTTTTTGTTTGTTTATAGTGACTTTACAACTTTTAACAGAACATCTAAAATTCATTCTCCTTTTATTTATTGGGTGAAATAAATATCCATCAACAATGGGTAACTGTTTATCTCTTTGACTATTGATACTCATCGTACTACACATAAATACAATATAATTAAAAATTATTTATAGTCATAATTAAAGTCACAAAAATAATTAACAATTCAATTTCATTTTAATAAAAAGTGACATAAAATTGTAATTTATTTAATTTAATTGTGTTTCAATTTTTATAATTATTATGGATTTTTATGTGTTTTTATTTGTGATAATAATTATATAAAAAAGTGAGTAAATTAAAATTGTTATGATTTTAATTAAGTGTAAATAACAATAAATATTTAATTATTTTTATATATTTAAATACTTTATGATGATGGTTGTGATTATTAGTTTGAATAATTAGTTTTGAAATAGCTTGTTTTAAATTTTGTATTTTTGGGTAATTTAATTTATGTAGTGTCAAATAAGTTGGTTTGAAATTGTTAGTGTTAAAACTGACAGAACAAAAAAAATAAAAATGTGTAATTTTTTGAAAATATATGACCAAATACTAACTCTCGTTTTATATTTTTAAATTTTATTGATAAAATACAAAAAAGAAAGTTTTGGAAAGAATTTGGCGAAATGTCCCCTAATCTGATGTGTCCATTCAAACAACTGAGTGTTGTTGAAGCTATTGTAGTTATTTCAAAATCTTGGAGTGAAATTACGAAAGAAACAATATGCAACTGTTTTAAACACACAAATTTGTTTGTGCAACAAAGCATTGCTGCAATACAAAAAGATGAATTAGATATCAACATTTTCAATTTGTATTGCAGCGTACCTATGAACGAAGAAGATAGAGTTCAAACAATCGAAGAGTTTACTTCAACTCAGTATGAAAATATCAATCCATTTTGCCATATTCAAGAAATAACAGAAACAGAAAACTTTCATGATCAAGAAACCGAGTCTTTCATGGTGCAATTAGAAACAATGTTGTATTATTCATCTTGCTTTGTTGACTCAAACAAAATAGATGACTTTCATAATTATATACTCGATGTTTTAAGAACAGTTAGAAGCTTTTTTAATTAATTATTCATTAAAAGTTCAAGTTTACAGAATAAAAAACTATTTGTCGGTTTTTAATTTTGATTGGTTAGTTAACAAATAGAGAAACCGACAAATTAGAGCCTTTGACTGTATTTTTTTATATCAAAAATTTTTGTATAGTATATTAAACGTTACATTATAAGTCTTTCCAATTACAGGGTTTTAAAATAAGAAAACGTATCAAATAAAATTCTAATAAAAATTCTAATATTGAAAAACAAGGGATAAGTCATACTTTGAAAATTCCAAAAGTAATTTTTTTTTGATTTAGTTTTCATTTTTGTAAATGTTTTGATGTTTTGTAACTATCGTTAAAAAGTTGATATTTTATTGAATTATAATATTTATAACAAACAATTAAATATTATTATATTAGTTGTGCAACCACACTGATGTTTGGCGTTCTCATTTTATAACCTTTTGTTGTAATTCATATGCGTATAAGATATATTATTTAAAAAATTAACTATCGTTTTAAAAAATCGTTTTTATTACACAAAATAAATTTAACACTTTCACAACATAAAACTTTTTTTAAGAAGAAAAATAAGTAAAAAAGAAATTGTCCAAATGATTTTTTTATTATTTTTATTCCAAAACCCCTTTCTAACCCAAACTGGCCAATAGTCAGTTTTATTTTACAAAAAATAATTAACAAATGAAAACTCAATTAACTAAGATTGATCAAAAATAATCTTTTTGGATGAAATTTCATATCACTTTATTGTGTTACGACATTAAAACAAAAAACGCTGCATCGTCAATCCACTTAATGACAAACAATGTCAAATAGTCACATTAACAAATATAACGACAATATAAACACCAATATCGTTATAATCAAATGACAATATACTTTTTTATACAAAAACAACCAAATATTTCAAACCATCATTAGACCCCATTTTTCTTTCTAATGCTTTGCTCTTGTTTAACACAAATAAACTCATTCATGTTTATTTGTGTGAGTATAAAATATACAATTCGAAATTGAGTTGATACAAAAAAAT